TGAACCTAATCTACAAATCTAACGTAAACCTAACCTGTACAAAGTATTTAAGATGTCGAACCTAACCTACAAACTCCAGATATCGAAACCTACAAATCTAACCGAATTAATTAGTTAGGAGATCTAAAATCGAACCTAATCTACAAATCTAACGTAAACTTAACCTGTACAAAGTATTTAAGATGTCGAACCTAACCTACAAACTCCAGATATCTAAACCTACAAATCTAACCCAATTAATTAGTTAGAAGATCTAAAATCGAACCTAACCTACAAATCTAACGTAAACTTAACCTGTACAAAGTATTTAAGATATCGAACCTAACCTGTAAACTCCAGATACCGAAACCTAACTTATAAACTTGACCTATACAAAATATCCAACCCAAACCTGATCCAAACCTAACCTGTACAAAGTATTTAAGATGTCGAACCTAACCTACAAACTCCAGATACCGAAACCTAACTTATAAACTTGACCTATAAAAAATATCCAAGGTATTTGTATGTTTTATTAACTAATACTTTGCGAAACAGTATCAACAATATTGCAAACTTAACGAGACAAACTTCTACCCAAGTCCTGTTTACATAGTTTTAAAATATAAGTTTGCAGAAAAGTCCGCGTGTAACAAGACTCTGCTATACAGGAAAATTACACGGGAACAGAAGAAAACTTGAAACTGTCTGGTCAAACGACCGAATACGAATTGAGAAATCAACGACGACGAAACAAATTTCGCGAGAGCGCTAAGATCGCATAAATTCGACGGTCCATCTTATCGATAAGATTCGATCGAAGACGGAAGAGAAAGAGATTCAAAGGCCCCGAAGACAGTGGCGTCTCTTTAAGTACACATGTAGAACGATGCTGTAAGCACTGTGAGCGGCGAGAAGAGAGAGAGAAGCAAAGAGAACGGACGTAAATTCTTTCACAAATGTCGGGAGAGAATCGCCGAGACTTCTCTCTATTTCCATCGAACTGGTGAGTTTTCCTGGTCGGTCCGCGGGGGTTTGGGTGGAGGGAGGCATGTCACAATCGGCTTGACCAGCACAAAGCTTTCGGCAAACTCGCGCGGAGAATTCGCGAGGGGTAAAGCCGATATCCCAAAGCAAACTGAACACTCAGCGGAACGAGCCTGCCGACGTAATCTCTTCCTACCCTTTCAAACCGAAAGGAATCAGCCCCCCCTCCTCCTCTGGCTCAGTTTTCAGGGAACTGCCCCTGTCTGACCATTGTACCCTCTCGACTTTCGGTACACTCTGCCAGAGACTGACCAACCCTCGCTGCGTCTCGCCATCTTTCCTCCCCCGCCAAAGACTATAGCGCAGGGGCGCGAAAATTCGCTGACGTTTTCCCAACTCGAATTAAACAGCTGCCGCTTAATAGGAAATCGTCGTTAACGATCCCCTCCACTTGCGTCTTTAAGAACAGAGTCGATAACGCGGCAGCTCCGAATGCTTCAAAGCGACGAGTGTGAATTCTTTTTTTTTTTTTTTTTTTTTGGTTCTTCGAAAAGGGGAATTTTATTTCGAGAAGTTAAATTCTGAAGCACCGAGAGCTGCGAAAGTAATCTGGTTTCGAATACGTAGAATTCTTTACATCGTTAATTTCTTTCTTCTCTTCTTTTTTTTTTTAAGGGAGGGGGAGGGTTGAATATATATATATATATTTCTTTATCGAAACGCGACCAAGCATGGTGGAAGACAATGCACGCTCCCGAAGAAAGAATAGAAAAAGAAAGAATCTCCAAGAATCTTCCGAGGGTTGGGGCGAGATCTTCGGACGGTAATGCGTCATTGACTTTGAGATGACGAAGAAAGAAAGGAAGAGGGAGACGGGAAAGTTGGAGAGACGCGCTGGAGCCGATGAAAAAAAAAAGGAGGGGGGGAAGAAAGAAAGGAGAAGAAAAAAGAAAAATAAAATGGGCCACGATACTCCATTAACCTGATTACTGCCACGAAAGTAACGACCCTTTCTATGCTCGCGGCTTCCGCGCGACTGCTAAATGTGGACACGGCCTACATTCCAGTTCATTTTTAGATAACGTTTTAAACACAGTGATTATCAACCGTGAAACAAAGTCTCGCCAGAGTTTTCGCCACTCTTGTTGCCAGGCTGATCCGATCTACGATCCGATCCGATCTGATCTGATCTATGTACAGCGTGATTTGTCGTCCCTGTACCGGCGCGCGAGGTATCGATCGTTGCCTATTTCTACGACATTAAACCCCTTGCCCTTTAATATCCAGTCACGCTCGCCTCGCGGATCATCGTCCCGGTTTGATAAAAGCCGATTCTGTGTTTCTAACCCAGTTTCCATTTCCGGCTCGAGAACTTTAGTCGCCGATCGGACACGACGTTGCACAGAAACTGAAAGTTCGACCGCGCGTTGACACGGCTGAGAAAAGCTCTTGAAAATCATTCCAAACACGACGAGACTGTTTGTTCCAAACGTTATTGAGAATAGACGTTGTACGGATGATTGTTAAACGGTTAAAAAATTGCTGAAAGTTCCCTCGAAGATGCTCTTTAATCCTCTTGCGTTGGTAACTTGGTTCACGGACCATAACGAGTGACCAAACCGTATACAATAATTCTTCGTCTTCTTTTCGAATACATCACGGCATATCACTGGATAGAAATTACTAAGAAGTAATAAATTTATTATCTGTTTCGCCTGTTAGGATTAGATTTCGATATACTTAAAACTGAGAAGATATTGCGATTTTGGGCGAAATATTCTCGACGTTCGCAAGAGGTGAACGCTGCCAAAAGTTCTCCAATGGATTCTTTTTCTAAAACAATACATCCTATTTTCTGTCGTGGATAGAAAAACGCTTGAGACGTTTGAAGCCAGTGCGTTTCAATTGGAAAACCAGCTAACGGGTTTAATCAATTCTGTCTATCGTCTAATACGCCGCAAACTTTCCACGCTAACGATCAAACATTTAGCACGTGGTCAGTATCGGGATATTAGAAGCACTATAAATTCACGCACAACGTACTTGCCTGCGCTGACTGGAAGTTAAACCGTGTGTTACCGAACGCAATCTCGCCTGGAACTTTAATATCGGGGAGAAACTGGAAACTAAGTCACGGGTGCACGAGAGAGAGAGAGAGAGAGAGAGAGAGAGAGAGAGAGAGAGAGAGAGAGTGGGATGATTATACACTGCCGTTCAGAACTGCACACGCTACGACGAATTTTATTCTTTGTTGATCATGGTTAAACTTTTCACGATTAAAAGAAAAGCAATGGCAAACTAGTCGAATTTTGCAGAAAAGTTTTGTTACTCGAAGAACACCTGAATTTGGAAGTTTGAAATTACGAGTTAGATCTTTTGATCTTACGAGAGAATATACCCAAGTGTCATCGATTTTGATGAAGTTTGGTATAAATGTAGTTCCTGAAAAACTATTTGACACGTATCTCTTTTTTTCCTCGGACGATTAAATGAATGAACAGTTTTTGCGTAAATTGATGTAATTAGCGTTTCTCAACGACGAATTCAACAGCATAGATTTTTCGAAAGCACCATTTTGTTCAAACAGTATTTCAAAAAGATGGTATTTTTTTATATTTTTCCGACAGTTTCGCCAAGTGTGAATTCATCACTTGTGCAAAATCACATCAGAATGATTGACACTCAGGTACGTACTAAATGTGACAATTAGGTATTGATCTGGCCTGACGATTTCGTATCTCCAGGTACCCGGAAATATTTCCGAAATATATACTCGCGCAAACGTGAGCTCGGTCCATTCGCTTCCCGCTATAAATAACACTCATCTCGCAATTAAAGCTCGCCCATTCTAATTCGTGAGCTTTATTATAAAGGCGTATGATTACGAAGTGGACACGTATATTATCCGGATCGTTGTATTCCTTAATCCCCTGGCTACACGGCTCCGAACTCCGCTTGCCTCCGCTTGCAATTCCTTTTATCCGCGCGCTGACTTCCATTTGTGCGGCAATTAATTTTTTCCAGCGGCAAACTTCGCCCACGAGAATTAAACGCGGGATCTCCTCCCGTAGCTCGGACTGCTCGTTGGAAAAAATCTATTCAGATTTAATACAAAAACTTCCGTCGTTAACGAAGATTTATCTACCCCTGCCGCTTCTCTCTCTCTCTCTCTCTCTCTCACTCTCTCTTTCTCTGTCCTTTCCAAACTCGTGACGATGGAAATTCGAAAAGAACATCTAGGATCAGGAATATTCACTCGTAGCACAACAAACGTAATTTCTAAACCGTGAAAAACGAATGTTTTCATTTGCAAGTTTCACCTTTCGAAATTGATGTTTGATGTTTAACTTTTATTAAGCATCGTCAAATTCTAACATCGTGCTGTAAGATGCTAACCTCAACGATTGTCGTGTAACAATTATTCGACGAAATTAATTGGCACAAGCAATAATTACACCTAGCCACGTGATAATTACACCTACGTGAAGAAAAAAAAATCATCCCTCTGTCAGCTTCAACGCAATTGTCGTGTAACAATTGTTGAACAAAATTAATTATTATAATAAAAAACGATCACTACGTAATAATTACACCTGACTTGCGTAAAAAGAAGAGCATCTCTTCGTTAATTTGAAGACAATTGTATCGTATGACGATTATTTGACAAGATTAATTAATATAATAAAAACAATCACTGGTCTGACATAACAATTACACCAAACGTGCGTAATTACGCGTTAAAAAAAAAGAAGAACATTTCTCTATTAACTTGACAACACGATTGTCATATACAATTATTAATCAATATAATAAAAAAAACAATCACTACTCAACCCATTTGCATTACGACTCTACCTATGCTACTACGTTGAGACGTCAGCGGCATTCGACTGACATACAAATGAAGATCGCCGATCGCGCAATATTCCGCTTACGGATGCAAATGGATTAATAATAATAATATTAATAATAATAATAATTCATCGTATAATAAAAAAAAAAAAAATGACGAAAGAGTAGAAATGACGACTCACCAGGAAGACTGCGTGGGTATGGATGGCAGCGCCCCCGGTGGCAGAGACCTGCGGATCGCCTGACAGCAGGACCTGCCGTTGCCAGACACCTCGTTGCAACAAGACGGCGGATTGTTGCAGACGTGGCGCGCGACAACCCCGGCAGACGTTGTCGGGAACTCGACCGCGGAAGCGCGTACCTTGGGCCTGAGCAACGGTGACATGGAGAAGCCGTCCCTCTGGTTGGACGCGGAGCTGCTCGAGCTGCTGGAACCGGGGCTACCGCCGAGTCGTCCCGGCGACGCGTACGCGAAACCGCGTAGCCGAAAGTGGGACTGATGATACGGGTAGCCGGCAGGCGGCGGTAGCCGATAATGATGATGGAATCCAAGGTCTCGCCTCATGTACGGATCGGCGGGATCGTTGGTGGGCACGTAACGATCGGTAGGCGTGTGCGCGGATGGCGGTACGTATCTGTCGACGTATCTGTCCGGGTAGAGGACCTCCGGAGGCGGTTGAGGCACGTATCGTTCGACGGGCGTGTGCGCGGTTGGCGGAACGTAGCTTCCGGTGGCGCTGGTCGATCCGTAAGTTCGATCGGTGACGGTGGCCGCGGCTGCCACCGCCACCGTGTTGCCGCATGACGAGATCGGCGTTATGCGACCGGTGTAACGATCCTTGGGCTTCGGCAGGGAGAGATACTTGTCGGCGGCGCGCACCGGCGAGTACCGATCAGTGGCAGAATGAAAACGATCAGGAGTACCGGACGAAGGTGTGAAACGATCGGTGGCACCGGTGACGACTGAACCGGTGGCGAATCTGTCGTAACGATCCTGGCTGAGCCTGTCGAACTGATCGGCCGGATTGCTCCCGTAACGATCGTTCCCAACGTAGCTTTGCACCGACTTTGACACCTGAAGATACTTGTCGACGCTGCTTTTCGTCGTACCCTGATAGCCGGAATTACTGGCCGCGACACCACCGCTGCCACCGCCGCCGACGCCGCCGCTCGTTCCAGTTCCCGATCCCACCGAGCGTGGATTGCGATCGCCGCTGGCTGTTTCAGGCGTCGGAGAGACGGAGGTGAAACGATCGTTGGACGCTGTTGACTGCTGTTGCGTGGCTGCCGCGTTCGTGTAGGACGAGTGATATCGAGCGACCGTGTCCGTGGAGGAGGAGGACGAAGACGAGGTCGCGGAGAGTAGTCGCTCGGTGGAGGATCCGGAGCCGACGTACCTGGTCGCCGCCTCGGTGTTGGCCAGGCCTCTTCCGTCGTGTCCCGGCGACGAGCCAGCGAGGTAACGATCGGTCGACACGCAGAATCGATCGTTCGCTCGCGACTGGCCGCAACGTTGTATCGCCAGATCGTTGAAACGATCGGCGGTGCTGACGTATCTGGACTGCGGTGTGTTTCCAACCTCCTGAAAGCTGGAGGAGTATCTGTTGAAGTCGGTGGGCGCGGGCGATCCGCTGGATCTGTCCGTGTACTTCTGACAAACGGTCTCGACGCCTCGGTCGGTCGTGTACAGACGTCTCTGTCCGTCGTTGCCGCCGGACGCCACCTGCAGCGACACCGACCGCTCCGCCGACGCTGAGTAACGCTGATGAGAGGCCTCGGGATTAGGCGAGTTGGAGAGGAATCTCTCGGCGCTGGACGATATCGTGGAGTAACGATCGTGATGGTGGATGGCCGATGACGTCGCTTCCTGCCGATGGTATCGTTCGTGTACCGGCGACTCGCCGAGATACCGATCGGTCGACTTGCTGGCGAACCTCTCCGGCACCGGGGCGTGTATAGGCGACGAGGACGAGAGCAATCGGTCGGTGGAAATTGCGCCGTATCTCGATCCGGTGGAATCCTTGCTGCTCGTGGCGTATATACCGCTCCTGTCCCCCTGTAGACTAGCTTGTAGGCTTCCAAGCACCGGCGACGATCCGGACAGGAGGCGATCGCTGGCGCCAGCGTATCGTTGCTGATCCTTGCTGGGCTCGTGCACAGAACCCGACGGCTGTTGATTGGCCAATAGTCGCTCGGCCGACGAGAATCGTTCCTTAGCTGGCATCGGTGAGGCTGGTGCCGTACCACCGCCGTATCTGGCGCTTGGAGAACCTGGGGCCAGAATCCTATCAGCAGCAGGATAACCAGCCAGACTCTGGGTCGAGGCATACTTCTCGCTCGGGCTGGGCGACAGGGGCGGTGGTGGTACGAAACGATCGTTCGCTGGTGCCGGTGACGGCGGCGAGGGGAACGTCTCCGACGAGAATGGACTGGTCGCCGAGCACCCCGACACCAATATGTTCGCGTTCGCGTACTCGTTTCCGGTTGACACCAGCTCGCTCGGAGGCGGATGATGGAATCGAAGCTCGGCGCTGCCGGCCGGCTGGTGGTAGCGTTCGCTCGGTGCCAGCGACAGCCTCTGCTCGCCGTGGAGGCCGGTGAGCTCCGCGAACCGTGGAAAACGATCGGCCAGAATAACCGTGCCGGACAACGTTTGCCCAGACGTTGAGACACCGCTGTTGCTGCTGCTGCTGCTTCTGCCGCCTGGTGTGAACTGGTGGTGGTGGTGGCTCTGCAACGAAGACTGACCGAACCTCTCCTGGTTCTGGTAATGGCCGAATCGCTCGCAACTCGACTGTATCGAGCGCGTTTCCGCGCCGCAGGACGACTTTGGGAAATCGTCGATCGTTGGCTTGTCCGTCGACTTGTCGTGCCTCTCGACGATGCCTGACATTCGTTCACGGCCTCCATAATCGGCGTGCTCGTTCCCTTGGGACGACTGATCCGACGATTGGTAACGATCTTGGCCGACGGTGTGGCTCGATCCGTTCGTTCGTAGATCGGCTTGCTGCTGCTGTTGCGCCGACGGCTTGTAACAATCCGGAGCAGTGCTGGTCGAACCGATCGACTGGGAGCCGACGCTTCCGGACGTCCCGCCGCCGTTCGATCCTGGAACTGGAGATGACGAGGACCCGTACTGAGGGATCGGATGCTGGTGCAGTAGGAGACGTTCTCTTCGGCCATAGTCGTCGTCTGTCGGCATCCTGGTGGCCCGGGGCCCGCTGTCAGGACATCTGAAATCATCACGTCCTGCGTTAACCTTCATTCTCACGTTTACGATCGTACGTTTCCTACGTAAACAATGAGCAGAGATCGTTTCACTACTCCTGTTTTTACAGCTAATGGGATTCTAATTAATCCATCCTCTCAGGGACAAACTTTTAATTTCAGTTACGACAAAGAAATTTAATTTAATTTCATTTCATTGTTTTCACTCGCGTCGTGACAACAATTGGGATTTATCCGGTTAACTGTGGTAGAAACTTCGTTTCGGTTGGCATTTACTTTAAAAATTCCAAATTTCAATGACAAGTGACGGTATGTTTCCCTTTATACTACCAATAAAACTGCTATGTATTTTATAAAAAAAAAAAAGTTTGATCACTCCCTTTAAATTTATAACAAGACGTGTGTACTCGTCGTTGCTTGATTTTAATTACGCATCCCGTGGAGGGATTTTTAAAATTAAATTCCGCTAGTTGACTGGTTATTTTTTGGTTAGCAAATTTAGGAGTAATCTGTAACGAGTGAAAGTAGCTTCTTCACAGCACGTAAATTAACTATCCACGTGTGTGGCCAAAAGCTTGAAGAGGTCAATTCCACTCTTTTCTCGCCGCTTACCTAGCGAAAATCGCCATCTTTTCCTCACCATCCGTCGCGTTTAATTCACTTCGAAAGCTTTATATATGAAATACACACACACACACACACACACGCTGGAATTTATCGGTATCAACGCGATTTCCTCGCGATTGGTTTCGCCAATTCGCGGTTTAAATTCATATCCTTCTTTAACGTCTCGCCGGTGTGTATTCGTAACGCGCAAAACACGGATCGGCTCGGGGGCAGGTTTGCACGAATTGCTCGTTACGCGACGTTAAAACGCCGGCCGTATAATCGATCGCGAATTAATTGGGGCTACGCTCTCGCTCGCGTCTCGCTCCGGCCCCGTGCGTGTTCGAACGAGCGACGCGTGCGGCCGTTCGTAACCGCTGGGGCAAGCCTGCACGCGTATCGCTGCGAAACACAACGATTTCATCGATCACTGCTTAAATCCCCTCCCAAAAGTGTATTGAATACCATCCGGTATATATGCCTGGCCCATCAAACCTTTACCACTTTACCGAAATCAGAATACACGACCCTGTGCTCCCCGCATTTTTATTCGCCGGCGATGCTCGTTTAAAGCTTTCGAAGCTCGTTGGTGATTCGGACTCGATACCGATAACGAGATTTACGATTAAATCGTAGTATAGAATCGACGATTGCTGTGGAAATAAAATAAACCGGCGGGAAAGTGACAAACGAAGAAAAAAAAACTGAAGAAAGGCACGAGGATTTTCAAACGTGTCGGTTTGAGAAACAAGTGTCGAGAACCACGTGTTGAGCCACCCATTGAATTTTCCAAATAAATAGACTTTGTCTGGCTAGAACACGTTCCGGCGGAAAGTTTCGAGACAGACCACGCACGGAAGAAAGGGGAAAAGGAAAAGACGATTACGAACGGCCGCCGTTCGATGGCTGCGGTTAAGTGGCAAGTAGAGGACGACGGTGTTTGGTCAGACGCTTACTGCGCGTAAAGCGACAACTATCGAACTACACCGATACGATATATTTCAACTCGTATTGCACATTGCCAGGTGAACGGGGAATAACGAAATTCACGTTAATGCACGGCGTCGTCTTTTGTTAAATAAATCAGAGGCGGGCAATGATTGGCTGAACGACGTTCAAACTTTGCTCTTGCGCTGGAATTACGTATCACGCACGTCTAGAATTTTTGCAACATTTTCTCAGTTTTATGTATATTAAAGTATGATATATTAGTATATAATATTATAATATAATATATAATATTACAATATAATACATAATATTATAATATAATATAATATATAATATTATAATATAGTAATTATTACAATATAATACATAATATATAATATAATATATAATATTACAATATGATACATAATATTATAATATAATATAATATATAATATTATAATACAGTAATTATTATAATATAATATATTATATTGTAATATAGTATATTAAAGTGTAGTATATTAGTATATAATATTATAATATATATGATTATATAATATATACAATTATATGTAAATGTAGTATTATTATATATAAGTATAACTCGGGCAAAACAAATAATAAATTTATTACATCTCGATAACTTCTATCCAGTGATACCACGCCGACGAGTTGAAAAAGAAAGCGGCGAATTACTGTACGATTCGGTCACTCGTTATGGTCCGCAAACCAGTTGCCAGCGCAACGTGGTTAAACACTGGACGCTTGCTGCGGGTAAACTACACCGAAACGATACATATTCCGATATATCGTATGATTTTAAGGTAAAGATAAAGTAAAAAAAAAATAAGTAAGGCAAGGTAATGTAAAAAATTAATATCTTTAAGATAAAGCATCAAGCAGAGACGAACGACGACGATTGGCTGAACGACGTGTCAAAGTCGCCAGTGTCATAATTATTCGCGGCTGCGTGTTCCTTTGTAGCGTACTGCTTGAGCTACTTAATTACTCTTCCATTTAGCCAAGCACTCTTTCGAAACGAGGTTTAATTAAAAGACGATTGCAGAATGTGGTAATTACGAATCCATCGACGTCATTTATCTGTTCGGGCAGCCAACGACGCGGTGATATTCCTCTACACGGTGTCTACGCAGAACCGCGGTCGTCGTGTTGGAAATGTTACACGATCGTTAATTCGATCGCGTTCCAGTGCCGCGGCAACGGGGTGTAAGACGAGAGACGGACAGAGAGAGAGAGAGAGAGAGAGAGCGCGTAATTGGTGGTGCATTAGGAGAGAAGGTAGAACCTGCAATCACTCGCGAGTAGAACGAACCGTGTAATTGATCGGACGTTTCTACGGTAGAAGATGATGGTTTGCTTCAATTACCGACCATCACATGTCCTCGTTATTTGGAAACGTGTCGTTTAATCTCGCCTTTGCACGTGCCTCTTCCGCATCTAACGTAACATTTGCCACTTTTCTCTTCAGACAATCTGTCAGTCACTTTCTCAACCACGATTCTTATCCCCGTTCGTGAATATCCAACGTTCAAAAGTCCGATATGTGCGTTTCGCTCTCTAAAATATCTTTTGTTGGTGGTTCCTACGCTTTGTGGAATATTTTTGGAGACTACAGGATGGTTCATTTAAGCGAGACCGTCTAAAATATCCCGTATCATTTGTTTCTACATCGTCATCTTCAGAAAACAGACGCAGACGTCAGTATGATCGTTTTAAAACAAAGATTTAAATTCTTGAACGTCGGTGTAAATTTCAAGGCCATGTTCTTTACGTATCTTTTTACCAGCTGCAATAAAACAAGTAGATACGCAGTCGAATGGAAAAAAAAAACACCAATTACCTTGGAAAGAAAAAGTTCTTACCAGCCATTGGTAAGCTTTCGATATCATTCAAAGTAGTTTTTGTATCGTCGAAATTCGAAAAAAATGGACTCATTTCCTGTAGTCGAGGATGCAGGAATATAATTTGCGATTCACACTGACCACCAGACATTGGAAATTCGCCTGACGTTGGACCTCTGTTGCGAAACGCGTGGAACAGCCAGCGCAGAGGGTGCGCGTGTACCATTTATCGCGACACGATATCGCTAATACATGAAACAGAGACGTGCCAGCGTTCCGCAGTGCGTCTATCAGCAGCAGGAGGGTAGGAAAAACTTCGCGGAAAGTGGAAATGGCACGCGTTTGCGGGTGTCGTGAAGATAAAACGCAGCCGGCGTCTTCCACAAAAGAGCGAACAATTCACCAAGTACCTATATATATATATATATTTTTTTTTTTTTTCTCTCTTTTTACATTTTCCCGCAGAGTATAATATATCGGCCAGCCGAATTTAGCATCTCCTTAATTTTCTCCTGATAATAAAAAATTCAGAGGAGAGGAGGAAGGGGGGAAATCGCAACCACGACGATAAATCATATTTTCCATCGTTTATAGGCCATTGAAATTCCTAATAACTCACACTACGAGAGAAAAGAAAATCTCGAAAGATTCTACTTTTCATGAGAAAGAGATAATATAAAATGAGAAAAAAATAAGAAGAAAAAAAAAAGAAGTTCTTCGAATAATTTTACGTTTGCGAGAGGTCTGTGACTCGATAATGTAATAAAATATCTATTTCCGTTCTCCTTTCTTCAGAAAAAAAAAAGGAAAATCTCAAATTCTCGGACCTAACCTAAAACCTCCAAAACCTAACCTGAACCGCGCGAAACACGAAAGATTTGGAACAGGGGGACTCGACAATAACGTAAAATAAAATAAAATAAAATAAAATATCTACGAACGTCCCTGAAAATCCCGTTCTCCTTCTTCTTTCAGAAGAAAAGGAGAAATCTCAAATTCCTAGACCTAACCTAAAACCCTCAAACCTTAACCTAAACTTAACCTAAACCGCGGGAAACACGAAAAATTTTAAACCTCGAACGCGGAGGGACTTGACAATAAAGTAAAGTAAAATAAAATAAAGTAAAATATCTACGAACGTCCCTGAAAATCTCAGTCTCCTTCTTCTCTCAGAAAAGAAGGGGAAATCTCAAATTCCTAAACCTAACCTAAAACCCTCGAAATCTAACCTAAACTTAACCTAAACCGAGGGAAACACGAAAAATTTGAAACCTCGAACGCAGAGGGCCTCGACAATAAAGTAAAGTAAAATAAAATAAAATAAAATATCTACGAACGTCCCTGAAAATCTCAGTCTCCTTCTTCTCTCAGAAAAGAAGGGGAAATCTCAAATTCCTAGATCTAACCTAAAACTCTCAAAACTTAACCTAAACCGCGGGAAACACGAAAAATTTGAAACCTCAAACGCAGAGGGACTCGACAATAAAGTAAAATAAAATAAAATAAAATATCTACGAACGTCCCTGAAAATCCCGTTCTCGTCCTTCCCTCAGAAAAAGAAAGGGGAAATCTCAAATTCCTGGACCTAACCTAAAACCCTCGAA